TAACGTGTGAATGCCCAAGCTACTATGATATTATTGGTACCCTCGTGAGTGTGATCGTGCAAAGACCTACGCCAATATAAAGCACTCGTCCGAAAACTGTCACGTAAGTTCGTGAATGTGCACGCAGTCCATTGGATGGAACAATCAACCTAATTTGTCGTGCTAAGTAGGCTCCGGGCTTACAATGGGAATCAATCACTCGTGGATGTTGAGTTTGTGTGATGAGTTATAGGGGAAAGAAAAAACTGTTGATAATAATTGCTTATTTAATCGTTAAGTTCCTACTTTATGGTGATTAGTATAAGAAATTAGCGCTTCGGATGTTGGCGGAAATTGAGACAAGAGTATGAGATATGTTGGTCCTCTTCTGCCCTGTTTCATAAACTCCCTCATCACCCGGAGACAAACTGCATAGCCAGCTAAATGATCTAGCTTAATGGTGGTAAAGGTCCTTTATACGAAGTCATCAACTTCCCTGATTTTAGACCAGATTTCTTCGAGCACTAATTGAAGTACACTTGAAGACTATGGCTTTGAGTATGAGCGCCCTTCCCAGCCTGTTTTCAATAAGCCGAGTCTTAGTATGTTTCATGATTGGGAGTGATAATTCCCTATATGAGATCAACTTAGAGTCGAAGGTCGACTCAGTGAGATAGTGGCTAGGCACACGACTCAAGGCAACGCATACAAATTGGAAGACATTCTGCATATAATATCCCTCTCTTAGTATTCAAACTGTTGTAGAGCAGCCTATGCATAAACCTCCCGCTTTGGGCGACGAGTATTTCAATCGTATATATTCGATGAATGGACGAATAAGGCACTTTGAAGTTCTCAAAAGGGCTCGTTGCAAGCCGTCACTCAAAAGAGAGTTGGTTCGGGTCTCTGCCAAACCTAGATGGGCAGTGTCTCAATCAGAGCAGAAATCCAGTAACGGTCAGAATCTCCCAGATATAACAGGAATACAAAAGGGTTTCAACTCGTCGCTTACTTCCTCATAACTACTCCGGCCGGAACCTGACCTCGAGCCTGAACAGAAGGCCCTGCCGTGAGAAACAATGCGGTGCCCGAACAGTTAGGCGTGACCTGAGAATGGAACACCCCTGAGTCACTAGCAGACCGGCTGCCGTCATACCGTTTTGCACGAACCAAGTGAGAAAAGTTTCACACTGCATCCCCAAGTGCTAATCGACACTACTACTGCCTCTCCTTACTATGCCTCATCAAGCTAAGGCATAGGCAGCAAGGAAAAAAAAAAGGGGGGGGGATTATGAAGGACTGTGAGATAGTCATGATGAAGTGCGGGGCTTGTAAAGACAGAATGGAAAGGTGGGAAGAGGATGCGATAAAAAATGTCCTGCACAATGTGAAGGCAATGAGAAGCCAGGCACTAGAGTCGGTAAGGGGGCAAACATTCATCAAATATGCTATTTATTTCTACGGAACCGATGGAAAACTGCACAGCACGCTTTCTTCCATGGAAACTGTTAATCAAGCACGAGTGGCCATCAATAATTAATAGTAAGGGAGGAGAGATGTATATTTAATAAGGTCTGGTGCGATATTACTAGGATGAACTGACTTGGTGGGAGTCACGCAGCAACACTTAGGGACCAGGGAAAGTTCTTCGTTAGCAATCTCAACATCATTCAGTTCTCAGTCAGCAATCTCAACAACATTCAGTTCTAAGTTAGCAATCTCGTCAGCATTCAGTTCTCAGTCAACAATCTCAGCAGCATTCAGTTCTCAGTTAGCAATCTCAGCAACATTCAGTTCTCAGTCAGCAATCCCATCAGCATTCAGTTCTCAGTCAGCAATCTCAGCAACATTCAGTTTTCAGTTAGCAATCTCAGCAGCATTCAGTTCTCAGTCAACTATTTTTCAGCAACGTTCAATTTCAATCAGTACTCGGTGGCCGGTCATCTCAGCAAACATCCAATCTCAGTCTGAACTAAGCAGGCACTCGACTGTTGTTATTCAACATAAGTTCAACATTATTTAGACGGTACTATCGCCAGAAGGCACAGACCAATCCTAACTTTCACCTCAGCCTATGAGTATAGTCCGATCATTCTATATTCAGGAGACTGTCCTGACCAGCCTCAATCTGATTGCTTCCAGAGATGCCTTCAAGTACCGGTATGTCAGTGCAGTCAGTTTCAGACAAGAGGACCTATCCATTTATGTAGTTCACTGCATACAGAGTTTGTTGAGGGAACCATTCATAACCTGAGACCTTATGTGAAAAAAGAAAAAGAGACCCACAAACATTTCGACTCAGTCTAGACCTCGGCTGCTAGGTACCTTGAAGAGAGAGAGAGGGAGCTTGATGAGAGCGGTACCAAGCTAATCCGTAGTTTCGGACCAAAGCTCTATACCGACTACCCCAAGTCTCAAGTACCTTTTACCCTGACTGACGGCTCTTACTGGGGTAACTTGATCGATCTGGCCAAGAGATACATTTCCCCTGCAGTGGTCGACTACGAGTCAATGACTGAGCCTTTCGAGTTCCCGCATTTCAGACGAGGGATTTTTTCTTAGCCGCATCTTCCTACACTATGGGAGGAGTTTTGTCTCATGGTTGATTTTCGTATCATGGGACTTGGATGGAAATGCTCGGAGCTAGCAGGCTTCAGGTGGCTCTACATACAGAAACCACAGGGAACAGACAACTAAATGAGAGGTTGTGAGTTTGACCCAGAGGGACGAGTGAGGACTCGAGATTAGTGTTGGCTATGCTCTCCTTCATGTGTACTTTTTGAAACTATTATGACTTCTTATTCTTCCCTCACATGACTTTGAACTGACTCGAGTCAGTCAGTCTTGCTTCTTTGCATTTCCTTGCTTGATGATTGCACTCTTTGACGATTCTGTCGCAGTTCTCAAAATTAGTAAAATGGTAAATTGACGCATGCACAACATGTTGGAATTCAATGATTATTATCTGCATGATTCTTTGCTGTTCCGAATTGAAATAAAAGATTCCTAAGGCCGGGGACCGGCGAAGACCGCAATTGAAGGGTCTCGGTCGAAGCCAGACGCACACAACATGAATAAATTTGTTTTATTTAATTTATTTTATTTATTGCAGACACATACAAAATCCTGCGTGACAGCCTGTTGGCTTTCCAGTCGCCTAAAGTGGCCTGACTGAAAAAAATGCGATAAAAATGGCGCAGTTGCCGGGGACATGAAAATTTTTTGTGTCCGGAACGAGCCTGGGTCAGCAAACAACTTTGAGCTTTGATTAGGCATTGAGAACTGTTGACAATTTCTGAATTTTCCAGACTGATTTTGCAATCCTTCTTGAGTCATTATTCTCCTGGAAAACCTAGTTGCTAACTGAATCTTGTTTTTCCTTGTGTGAGGTACCGCACTGGACTGGAGAAGGAGATTGATATTACTGATTGGAGGAAAACAGACTTGATTTCATGTATGCTTTATGAGCCTATTATGTCATTGAAACTTTAAGAAGGAAAAAGAAAGAGTCAAGAGCTCAGAGACTTCATCAAAAATGTTAACCACTGATGCACTAAAAGAACTCTCAAAAGTAACGACTAAAGGAATATTCCCCTACCAGTACGAGCATTGTTGGGTCTACCTTTCTGGCAATTCGGCCATCAGCGTAGTACTGGTTCGCTTCTTGGAGGGAGATATCTATGATATCTGTCCTTATGTCAAGAAGGGAGACTGTGACGATGGTGAGGCCTTTAACTGGTTATGGGGGATTGCAATCCAGTCTCTTTATGATGAGAAGACAAATTTAATCAAGCAGAAGAAGAGAGTGAAATGAGGTCTAATGCCAGTGATATATGATACTGTTCTGATCCCTCTTATACCTGACAGTTACTGTGATGAGACTAATTGGCCACCAATTATCAGCATGGTACTGAAGTGGGAAAAATGAACTGGTGGTCATGAGATCTAAAGAGATTTTAGCGGAAGAAATCAGACAGAGGATATCGAAATTTGGTAGAGGTTCAGACCTAAGCCAAGAGAAGGTTGGGTGCCTTCTGATATCTTTAAATACTCTAAGTAAGAGAAAAGTGTTCCCATATGAGGCTGTCAGATATGAGATGGTCGAGAGTGGATGGGAGCAGGAACGATTCTATGTACTGACATTTTATTTCGTAGACCTGGACACGTATGATGTGAGAATTTATGTCCCAAAAGTAAAAAGTACTGATGCAGTGAATGAGAGATGCTGAGGATTTGCTGAAGAGGTTGTACTGAAAGAGAAAGAGAGGGTGGGGGAGAGAGAGAGAGAGAAAAAAAATAAAATAAAAAAAAATAAAAAAAAATAAAAAAAAATGAAGTGGCCACCATATGTGTGTGTCTGTGTGTGTGTAGAGAGAGAGAGAGAGAGAGAGAGAGAGAGAGAGAGAGAGAAA